AACATTTAATAGAATAAAATTTTAATTTTTAAATATAGATTAAAATTTTAATTATTTTTAAAAATTAAAACTAATACACTAATTTCTAAAATATACTCGACAACTAACTAACATGTATCTAAAAAATGCTCACCCTAATTGAGTTTTTACTTTTGGGCCATAAATAAACAAAGGCCTTCGAGGCTAGAGCCCAAACAATTCATGGATCAGACTTTATCGGCCTTCCACCACGACAGAAACCAAAGCTATTGTTCCAGAATCAGCGTAAATCAATCCAGAGCAGCTAAGAATCCAGTTTGAGGTACCGCAGCAGAAGCTATGGCATCCGCAATTCTGAAGCGAGCAACCTCGTCGGCGCTGAAATCAGCAGCCGGAAGTTTCCGCATCGCAGCGTCAGGAAGGGGCTACGCATCGGTGGCAGCAGGGAGTGATATCGTCGCGGCGGCGCCTGATGTTTCTCTCCAGAAAGCTCGGAGCTGGGACGAAGGCGTCTCGTCTGAGTTCTCCACTACTCCTGTTAAAGATATTTTCAAGGTTTCAAATTTACATCTTCTTTCAAAAATTTAACTCCGTGTGAATTATTTTGAACTTATTCTCTCTATATTTCTTCCATTTCCAATTTTCCAGGGGAAGAAAGTCATCATCTTTGGATTGCCTGTAAGTTATCTCCCACACCCAGAAGAAAAAAAAAATTCTTTTGTTTGTGTTATTTTCCTTATTCCCTTTTCAAAGAATGCTGCATAATTAGTCCCAAAATTAGTATTTAATTTTAATACTTTATGAAGAAATTAAGCTGGTTTTGAGTTCAGGGTAGATAGAGAAAATGCCTTTCTGGGTATGATTCCGTTCTTAGTTCTTTGATATGTTGGTAGTTCTGTGAGGTTTTCTTTTACATTTTCCAGGGTGCATATACAGGAGTTTGTTCACAGCAGCATGTGCCTAGTTACAAGAATAACATTGACAAGTTTAAGGCTAAAGGAATAGACTCTGTCATTTGTGTTGCTGTTAATGATCCATATGTCATGAATGCCTGGGCTGAGAAAATTCAAGCCAAAGATGCTGTAAGTCATTTGCTTTAATCTTTTATTGTCTTATGCTCTTCCTTTTATGTTCAGACTGCATAATTCATTCAGCTATTTTGTATTTTTGATTGTTGGAGGGATTGATGATGCTATTTAGGTCTATCCTGTCACCTTCCCTGTAGAATTTCCTTTCTTGCCAGTCATGTAGAGGTGCTCTTGGAGATGGAGTGATCTCTTTTCTGTCTAGAAAGATGCCAGAAATGGCACTGTCTTTTTTATTTTTTGGCTGAATAACATTAAATCAACTCATTTCATGAAAACTTGTAGTGATTTAGTCAATTAATCTAGCCCCTTGGAGAGCAGTAGAAACTTGGTGGTGTTTGTAAGATTGCAATTTTGTTGTTATTAATAGGTTCAGAGCATTGCTTTTTTTTTTTTTTTTTTTTGAATTTTGTGCCCTTTTAGCTCCTTTATGCCTGTAATAGATTGAATTTTATGGGGACTTTGATGGTAGCTTCCATAAGAGCTTAGATTTGGGAAAAGATCTCTCTGCTGCTTTGCTTGGTCCTCGTTCTGAAAGGTATCTTTATACCAATGCTTCATTGGAAGTTTACTTTATGAAAAGTCAGATTCTAACTTCTAAGGCATCGATGCTCATTGTTCCATGTAGATGGTCAGCATATGTAGTTGATGGGAAGATTAAAGCTTTTAATGTGGAGGCTGCCCCATCCGACTTCAAGGTTTCTGGTGCTGAGGTCATTTTGGAACAGATCTAAGGATGTTTTAGCATCTATTTTTGCTGTCAACACCAGGAGATGTTTATTTACTCTAGCCAAATGATCATGGTTGCCGCTATTTTGAAGATCGTACTTAGTTTAAATGATAATTCTAGTGTGTCCAAACTTGCTGCCGACACTTATATCTTGCTAGAAATAAAGTTTCTTCACCATATAGTGATAAAAAAATTTTCTTTTAAAAAAGTGTGGATGGCTTTGTTCTTTGCTTCAGCAGTTTGTAGCAAAATGCAATAATTGTGCTTAGTGAAACACGAACCATTGAACCTATTTCATTCCAACAGAAGAAAAGGAATGTAGATCGAAATTGGCTCTGGCCTCCCTGTCTTCCACTATGTAATTGTCATTGGAGTTTAACCTAACTCACTTGAAGTATGTAAACAGGGTAAGGTGGCACCAATGGTTGGAGGTGACTCTGGCATCTGTAGCTTTGTGCCTTTATTTTGAAAAGGTGTGGCAGTGGCCTTCTCTTTGGAAGGGTATGAAGGGCCAAATCCAAAAGCTCCTCGCCTTTCTCTTCTGTGAAAATAACGAGCCCTACTAGCAGCAGCTGAAGCAGATAGGTGGTGCATAATGCGTTCTTCAAAATCAGAGTCATCTATGGATGCAGAAACCTGAATATTTTTACATTCACATCTTATCAATAAAAAATCAATTCTTACTACTGCTCAGCAGAAAGATGAAAATAAATTTCCAAAGTGAAGTACTAAACCAAATAAATTACCTCTCCAATGCCAGAACCAATGCAGTAGGATGGAGCCAAACGAGGAGGTATGTTTCTTGACCTAGAGTTCCTTTCACTCTCTAAAGCAGTTAGAAGCTCTTGGCTACAAATGGGAAAGACACAGAAACACATAAATACGTGATTATCTGGATATATTCAGCTTATCAGCATGACAATGAAGAAAAGAAAGGAACGTATCTGTGAAAATTGTGCATGTTGCCTTCAGGAAATCCCTAGCCGCTCCACGAGTGCATTCCGGAATTGGAGAGTTGAATAAAGTTCATCCCATATGGCTTTGAGTTTGGTATAGTAGGCGGCTACAGAGAGATTCTCCTGATATGTGACAGCCAAGGTCCTCTTTAATTCATGTATTCTAGGTGCGTTCCCTTGAGAAAATCTTTCTTTCAAATCTATCCATATCTCTCGAGCAATGTCTGCACAAGCCATGCTCCCATGTAATACAATTGAAAGAGAGTTACATAGCCATGAGATCACCAACAAGTTGCACTTTTCCTAGTGACTGAGATCTACAAATCTATTGGACGGACGAGAGAAGGTTCCATCAACAAAGCAAAATTTATTCCTTGCCCGAAGAGCATTAGTCATAGCTCTCACCCAAGTGGAGTAATTTGCCTCATTTAATGGACTAGAAACCAAGTTTAAACCTGAATGATCAGAGGAATGGAGGAAATAGGGTGAAGAGGAATCAAGTACAAGCAGGCCTTGGGTTTGGCTTTCTTTGCTTGAAGCTTTGCCAGCAGCGATGGTATTTTCCTCCCCCATTGTACTAGCGAGGTCAGTTTAGGGATCAATACTCTGATACCATATGAAAATTATGCATGTGGGCTCAGCACAAGGTTTGCATTTAATATAAAATCAATTGGCAATAGGTAGAGTAGCTTTCCTTGTATTTAACCCATAAGCTTCTTATTTTTATACTCAATGTGAGATTTTCCCATTTAACAGTATCCATGCATGCATGCATTCAAGAGAAAAAACAATGTAGAGTTCCCTTTACGAACCTAGCAGGGTCTTTAAGGACAAATAACTGCCAACATATTGGACATTCTTTGCTTCTTTGTGACCTAAAGAACAAACAACTTCTATTAGGACTCCAAGGCACCAGTATGGAAGTCATGCCAAAAAATCCACATGATTGAATAGATACCGACTATTCAAGAATGCATTGAAGATGATATTCATGTCTGCAACTTGTAACCTAGGACAAGTGACAAAGAATTGCAGGGGTGATATTTAAAATTCTATTAAGGGTAATGAAAGCTCTAATCTCTGTCTAGTACAGATAAAATTAATATTTTTATTTGTACATTTTCTCCATAAACAAATCTAAAACAAATAGGGTATTGGAAAACTACTTTTTCTGGAAATAAGAAATTAATCCGTGTGGAATTACACAAAAAAAAGCAAGCTAAATTCCTTTTATATTTCAAAACCGAACCATGTTCAAAGTTCATACATATCCTTCAACTACAAAATCAAAATATTCCGAGAAATGCGCATTTAAAGCCCTAACAATATGTCAATATATCTGTTCATTTTGTAATAAATAATGTTGAAAAATGCACAGAAAGGTTCCATTTCTAGCGAGTCAATAACCTTAAGAATTAAGAACCCTTCTTCGCTTGCACTACCAAGTCTACAATGGCAACATTTTCAG